GCCTATGGCTTGGGCGACGAGCGCGGGCAGGGCCTGCAGCGAGGTGGCCAGCGCGTCCAGCCGGCTCTCGAGGGCGGCCAGGCGGGCTTCGAGCTCCTCCTGCTGGGCCTGCAGTTCCGACACCACGTCTAACATGATGCTCTGCGTCTGCGGGAAGACAGCGCGGACGGGGCCGTGACCGCCGCGGGAGCGGACGGCGGGGCCCAGCCGTGGGGTCGCCAGAGGGCCGCTGTGAGGACCTCCCCGCCAGCCCAACGCCAGACGTGGGGGTGTGGCGTGGGCGTGTCTGGCAGGCCTCGGGGGTGTGGCCAACGCTCCACGCACTGCTCCGCATGTCTGCAGGGCGTGGTTAACATTGGGTGGGCGTGGCCTGGCTGCTGGGGCCCTTTCAGGGGAGGCGCCCCGGATGTCCTGGGTGAGGTCGCAGGCCCAGTGACCCCAGGATGAGGCGGATGCCGGCTCCACCCGCCAGCCACGCCTCAGGCCCTGGACTGCACACAGAAACCCACACTCACCCCGCCGGCCACGGCTGGAAAGGGAAGAGGTGATGGGCAGAGGAGAGGCAGGTGCCCAGTCCCCGGGAGCCCCTCCCTCCAGCCCGTGCCCCCCCTCTGACCTATCACCCCGCGCCCTCACCTTGGCTAGGTCACTGAGCGAGTTGGCCTGGTCATTCAGTTTCCCCTGCTCAATCTTCACGCTGCGGAGCCTGGACACGGAGGGGCCAGCAGTGTGGGGGTCAGTGGCAGAAGGCTGCCGGCCCACGGACCAACCAGGGGTGGCCTGGGCCCTCACCCGCTCCCCGGGATCTGCGCCCCGCACACCAGGCCCCCTGGGCCCCGGCCCGGACTCCCCAGGCCCTCACCGCACCCCGAGATCTGCGCCCCGCACACCAGGCCCCCTGGGCCCCGGCCCGGACTCCCCAGGCCCTCACCGCACCCCGGGATCTGCGCCCCGCACACCAGGCCCCCTGGGCCCCGGCCCGGACTTCCCAGGCCCTCACCCGCTCCCCGGGATCTGTGCCCCGCACACCAGGCCCCCTGGGCCCCGGCCCGGACTCCCCAGGCCCTCACCGCACCCCGGGATCTGCGCCCCACACACCTGGGCCCCGGCCCGGACTCCCCAGGCCCTCACCCGCTCCCCGGGATCTGCGCCCCGCACACCAGGCCCCCTGGGCCCCGGCCCGGACTTCCCAGGCCCTCACCCGCACCCCGGGATCTGCGCCCCACACACCTGGGCCCCGGCCCGGACTTCCCAGGCCCTCACCCGCACCCCGGGATCTGCGCCCCACACACCAGGCCTCCTGAGCCCACAGGAAACACTTACTTCTGAGCCCTGCGGGACACAGCAAGCAGGAGAAAAACCAGACATTTTAGTGTCAGCATCGGGGTTCAGTGACTCTGTGAACCCCGCCCAGGTTCACACCAGGGACTGGGGTGCCCTCCACCCGTGACACCCCCCGTCTACACAGCAGTAGCCAACGAGGAACCTGTCAGAGGGGGCCCGTCACGGGACCCGTCACAGGGGGTCCCTGAGTTGTTGGTCTTTGAACCAGCCAGTAGGTGACATGGTATTGGGGAGCCCCAGAACATTTAAAGTCTCCCCACAGCTCCTCAGCCCTCCTTGGGGCCATATCTGTCCTCAGAATGGACAGAGGACGCCGGTGGTGCCCACCAGCATGGAACCCAGGCCCCCCCCCACATTCCCGCCCCTCTCCTCCCCTACCACGCTGCCCCTCCTCCTGCCTGATTGCTCCACCTCCCTGCCCTCCACCGCCCCACCTGCGGGGCTGGGACCCCTCCTCCTGAGGAGGCTCGGGCGGGACTGTGTCCCCCACGCAGCAACATACACTGTGGAAGAAGCCAGTGTAGACAGACCTTGGGGGGGGGGGTCAGACATGGTCCCCGAGTCACAGTGCCAGACCCACGGCTGCTCCTGGAGCCGTTAAAGGGTCCTATCTCCCAGGGCACCAGTGGCTCAGGCCTGTCACCCCAGATACTCTGGAGGCTGAGATCTGAAGTCAGAGTTCAAAGCCAGCCCAGGCAGGAAAGTCCATGAGACATTTATCTCCCATGAACCACCAGAAAACCGGAAGTGGCGTTTTGGCTCAAGAGGTAGAGCGCCAGCCTTGAGCTGAAGGGCTGAGGCACAGCGCCCAGGCCCCGAGTTCAAGACCCGCGACCGACCAAAAACAAAAAAGAGACCAGGCTGGGACCTGTGTGCCTTGCGGGCTGACGGAACTGACTGTGAAAACACTCCCTGCGCATTTGTGCTCAAAACTGGTGCTCTGCCACTTCAGCCACAGCTCTGCTGGCTTTTTCGCTAGTTGACCGAAGGCAAGACGCCCGGCCTTCCCTGCCTGGTCCGCCTTCAAACAGCCAGACCTCAGCTTTCTGAGCAGCTGGGGTTACAGGCGGGAGCCCCTGGCGCCGGCCCCTGCCTGCCCCTGGCCAGTCCTGGGCCTTGAACTCAGGCCCTGGGCGCTGTTCTGAGCCTCTCGGTGCTCAGGGATAGCGCTCTGCGCCCCAAGGGCAAGCGGCTTCCATGTCTAATGGGGGGGAGGGACTTGGCCGGGGACGCCGGGGGCAGGCCCGCTCCGGAACGCACCCGGCCCCGCGCCGCCTGCGTTCCGGCCCCG